CGCTATCAGGTTGGTTGTCTAAAGATGTTGCATTCTAATGGTCATAGTTGAAATGAATTGTCACGACCTGCAAAATATTGAATCCGCGTGATACTAACCCGGACCTTTCTGTTTGATCATCTTTCCATCCACTGTCTGGTAAACAGAAGGTCCAGTCGTGTCCAATGAGTTTAAATATTCGCCTTCGAGTAGCAAACATTTTTAGATGAATGTAGGATTTTTTCATTTAATGTTCTTATCATTCATAATCATCATAACAGTTCACAGCAAAGAGATTTTTTCTTTTCTTTTTTTGTTTTAGTATTTTTCTTGTGTTTGCGATTTATCCATATTGGTGGGTGGCCAGGCCTCGGTTTCCCTGGGCCCTTCCTGAATCCGATCACACCACCTAGATATACCACCTATTAAGATCTAGGTCGGTGTTGATCAGATCTGGTAGAAATATCGGCTACATAGGTACGCATGAATATGGAAATGACTCAGGATGACACAACAACCCTAAAAAAAAGAACCAATGGTAAATTATTTTCTTTTGAAGAAAAATAAAATTCTTCCAGTACTAAAAATTTTACAAATGTGTTGATTTCAGAATAAAGTTATCAAACGACAGCAAATTCCTAACAATAAAATAGTTTGCTTCAATAAAATTGAAACAATTTATTATATAACAGAAAACACATGATATCCCAAATTGTCATCTGAAATAAATATTCTTTCAATCTTCAATAATTATAGACAAAATCCATTGGTATACGAATTCACTGTCGGAATGAAAACTGCTTCCAGAAAACTCTTTCTGTTAGTCACACGCCAGCAAAGATCTGTAATACCGTGTACGTTGAAAAGATATGAACCAAAGCTATTAATCTGTGCTATGCACATTACACTGACAAGTGAAAGGGGAAGCGTTACCAATATATTAAACTTCCTTGGGATGTTCTTCATTGTTAAACTCTTGGAAGGGAAGTTTTTTTCTGATACCTGCCAGTCTCTAGTAGAGCGGGAATTTTAATAAATAATAATAATAATTAATAATAATAATAATAATAATAATAATAATAATAATAATATTTATTGAGTCACATATATACAATTACAATCGTGTATGACGAGTCAATATGATTGCTTGTTTGGAAAGAGCGAAGTTATATTACTGTTCAGGATCAAAAGGCATCTCAGCATTTGCATCAAAGGTCAGAACTGAACAAAACTGATTCACGCTGGGGTGCATTGGCCTAGAAAATACAATACTTGTTACAGTTAGATTAAGATATTTACAGTAGATAATTATCTTGCTAATAATTAACATTTCATATGATATTAATGCTACTATACTATATAATAATCCATTTAATTAATAAATTACATCATATAATAATCACATCAATCATAATATTACATTAGTTATAATAATTCTTAATATACTTATAATTATTTTTGCAACTACATCAAATTTAACAATAGTAGTACATTCTACATTTATAACTGAAATGGTGAGGAGGCAATTTTGACCAGTTTTTTCTTCTTCTATTCACGGATGTGATATGCAGTTCTTTTTTCTTTGCTTCAGTTTGAAACAGTTCACATGAAACAGAAGTCTAATGGAATAAAGAAATTCCTTATTTTATTTATAATGTTTTTTAAGGGAAATGTAATTTGAAAATTCCTTTACACTGTAGAACATGTTGTTAAGCAGGAAAGCTTACAATCATAGAGTAGAGATATGTATCTCTCCTCTATGAATACAATAAGTGAGCTAGCTTTTGTAGCTTCGGGAGGGAAGAGAGAGTATTAAAAGTAAATATATGTATGGGAGTCCCATGAAGCTCGGAATTGTATGCAGTTTTTAAACATACAAGACAAAATATCAATGAAATAGCGAGTTCTTATTTGCTTTACTGGATAAAGGTGATTAAAGGTATCATTTTTTTGGAGTTAAAATTTCTTGATAGTGTATCACAGAATATTAGTATATTATTAGTATTTGTGGGAAACATTTGTGTTCAATAGTTAATAGCTTTCTATTTCTCCACACTTAATTTACCAGAAGTTTGGATGACTGTTCTTGTCCACATCCACATACAGAGAAGCACCTCTGTTCAATTGCATTACTAAATACGGCAGCTGAAAGTTCCTACAGTATATTCTCAAATTAAGTTCATTGATATGAGAACATTAATTGTTATAACACAAGTTGTAGTTTTTGAAGAGTTGCACGAATTCAATAAGATTTTGATCTCTTGTCAAGCCTTAAAGAAAGTTGATTCATTCAGTTGTTTGTTGCATTTTTGAGGTTATTTGGGAGCTACATAATATTAATAAGTTTTATGTGATAGACCTATTAGTGATGGTGGTAGTGTTTTAGTTATTTGAGGGTTTTGTTTAGGCTATCAGTAAAAAGTAGCCTACCCTGAATTTTGTTTAGAGAAAATGGCTGCTAACAATTCAGAATAATTATATCCAAATGTTTTTATGGTACAAATGTAGTTTTTTTATAAAATACACCACTAGTCACATATTATAAATCATGGAATCATACTCAGGGAAAATTCTGCTGTAAGTAACCACACTTTTATAATTCAAAAACAAATACAGAAAACAGTGATAAACGCAGTAAACTGTTGTTCCGAAACTTTCAAATCTACCACTCCCATGCATGTACGTATTTGAAATTTTAATTTCACAAAAAAGACTCTCATGAGGAATGTGGATTGTTACTGTGCACAGAAATCCATATTTATGATATTAGGTAAAAAATAAATCTGCACAACCCTCTTGTACAGTTGTTACTAAAACTGCACTCTCCCCCCCCCAAAAAGTACCCTTGTAGAAAGCATTTCATAACACACTCAGAAATTGAATTTAAATGCCTAAATTTCATACACACATTTGAAAATTAACTGAAAGCTTTCTGACTGACCTATATTATTGTTGTACATTACAGTTCAATCTGATTCTTGTAAAGATTGTGATAATTGCACGAGATTGTATTGGAGGTTACAGGGTTAAAGCAGACAGGATTTTTATTTTGTCCTTCATTTTTGATGCAAGTATTCTTTTGAAGAAAACTTCAAGCTTGTATGTGTGAATTATTGAATCTCATTTTGAAACAATATTGAGACTGGCCTTTATAGAGAAAATGTAGAATCTTTTATAAATATTCCTGCTCTCGTTATATGATTTTCATTGCATATTCATATAAAATGTAATCATGAAAACGTAAAAATAGTATGAAATGTATGAAAAATCCTGATAATTTGAAACCATAGCAATTTTAAAATTTCTCATACAAAATGCACTGAACATTTACTTGTTGACATTTACTTCTAACTTAATGTTAAATATTTTATTTCTCTTTTAGTCTTAATTTGAAAAGTGAAATTAAAAAATCTAGGAAACATGATATATGTACCTGTGAGTATACACATATCAATTTATTTATTACAAAATATGCATACTCACCTTATAATGAATACAATCATTAACAGTGCATGTTTGGTAGAAGTACTTCAATGTACAGAAGGTGTTGCATAAATCATAAATTATCTAGCCTTCTAAATGTGTGGCTTTGCAACCTAATTCAATTGCTATCAACAAGAACAACTCTCCTCTTTTTGCTCATAAAGTCACTTTGAAGTTTCAGAATAAATGCTTGTATCCCTGTACTAGCTGTGTGGTTGAGTACAGACTTTAATAATCATTTTATTTAATTTGTTATAAAATGTTATTTGTGTAATTAATGAGAATGAATAAAACCTCCAAGTAAAGCTTTTATGGAAAACTTTCTTGAACCAGCCCTTCACCAATCATCCTGACTCTCATAATGAAATTGCAATAATACAGTAAAAGAAAATTCATATTCTTTCTTTCATTTCCTCCTAACTGCAGATTTTCTCTTGATCTTCAGTTGAAATGTATATTTCACCAAGCATTGTAAGTTCTCAAACGTGTTTCAACTATCAAAAACTTTAAATGTGTTTGTAAATTACATAACACCAAAGGTGGAGGAGAGGATTTGACCCAGTGTTACATAGAGGTGGAGGGGTTATAGTTTAGTGTGCCGTAATGCAGATTTTTTTTTTTTTTTTTTAATTTTTAATATTTGCTGAAATAGTTCATTTTATGATAAAGCATTATCAATTTAAATTAAAAATTTATGATGTACAAATTGTTACAATAAATGGAAATAATTGTTCATCAACATATTTATTAAATCTGTTAATTATGAAGAAAATATTCAAACTGATCTGTAGGGTGTGCTAGAATTCAATTAAATTACTGCATTAGCCTCTGGCCTGTGCGTCCTCCACAATGGCTTGTATGTGTCTTGTCAGAAATTTTCTTGCTTATGTGTCCTACCTTTAATAAAAAAAGATGGTTCCCAATCTTAATCTTAGGGACAATCTACATCACCAACTACTTCTGACTTAATAAAACATGTCAGTATATAACACACTAAAATTGATACAACTTGTTACTTTCTTCACAATATATTTTTACTCACAAATGGCAAGGAGGATCTTGTCACAAGCATTTAATTATTTAGGTGGTGGTTCCAGCATGTATTACAGAGGGAGAGGGGGTACTCAAAAAACTCCAAATTGCTTAATGCAATTTATGAAAAGTTGGTTTCAATCTAAGTAATTTTATGAACAAATTTATTTCAAAATATTTTATTTATCACAGAAGACAAAAAAAAGTGTGAAACATGCAAGGTTTTGTTACCAGAAGAAACTACTTTATGACACTACCTTACAATAATAATTTAAATGTTGTATTCTATGTTTTATGAAATCAACAGAATTTCAAGTTAGCCCGTCTTTTCCTCCAACATTGGAATCTGAAAAAGTATCAAATGATTGCACATTTAAGTATAACTAAATATAAAATATAATGTTGCAGAATTTTATTGACTAGTTAAACGGCTTCATTTAAAATACCTTGTCATCTGGATATTTTCATATTATTTTCTGTGACAACTAAAGTCACATTTCATAAATATGAATAATGCAACAAATCCACAATTAATTGTTCTGCTTACCCATATTGCCTTTACATATTCATTGTGCAATAAGAAGAGATAATCTGAAGCAAGTACAAATTTACTCGTCAATGTCATAGTAAATGAGAAAAAGTTTGATTTTACGCAAATTTCTTAAATCCACACATTCAGTTCATAACATGTACCACTTGACAGTGACCACTATCTGGCAAAAATTTACTCACATCATATTTTATATTAATCTCCACGAGATCTATATCTTCAAACATTCATTTTCATGCAAAACATGACATAACTCACAATGAATTCAGGTTAAAAGTACCATATTCATTCAAATAAAAGACATGTCAAATCTGAAATTTGCAGATTTCCATAGTAGTTTCATTCTTAACACAACATGCAACTTACCTTTCTATTATTTTATTCAAGACCTGATAAGTTCATAATCTTTCCTTTATGTTTTATCCTCATATTTATGGCAATTGACTGTTTAGATGGAGGCAAGTTCATACATTCGATTTCTATTATTGATTGTTGCATTGAGAAAGTAATGTATCTATGCTTACATGCCAAATGATGTGTCACTGTTATAACAAGTCACAAAATGACAAAAGTGACTAGTTTGTTAATGTAGAGAAGTATGCAAAAGGTGCATTTGTCCTGTAGTTTATGATAAAACAATGGTGGCAAATTGGAATAAGACAAAAGCCACAGAGTAATTTTTCATGACATTTTGATGCTTAAAATTGCTGTCATAAATTTTTTTTAAAAAGTGACTTATAACATTTTGCCGTCTTAGCACAATTTATTGTTGCATTAGAGGACAATGAAATGTTTGATTTCAGAAAGCCTTCACCCACACTCTGAGTTGTGGGGAAGCTATTATCTCCTTGTCCTGCTGCTCGAGAGAAACAAAGCACAACTTTTTTATGTATTTTAGTGTAATTCGTCCTATCAGTCAAGTAAAGCAGTAACAATTTCAATTCCTGAAATTTCTAAAGCAATTATGTATTCTAGAGACACAAGAGGAAATTATTTTTATGTGAAGAACTTTCTTACAAATACAAACAGTTGTATGACCAGTAGCGTAACGCAATTACTGTGGACCTGCCTGCCAAACTTTAGTAGTAGTGGTAGTACCTTAAATAATACAAATATCTTTTAACTAGTCATCAGTCTATGATTAATAACCAATAGTGGAAAAATCTGCCTTTATTACTTAATTTTATGAAATTGAGACTGTTATAAAATGTAATTACTTGCTTTCCTTTAATGATTTAGAAACACAAGCGAGGAAAAATAGTTTGGAAGAAGCTGTTTTTAATCTTTTATTGTATCAACTATCGCAAAGTATCAGAGAAAGTATCACATAATTAATATTTCTTACAATTGCAAAACCTTGAGCCTAAACATAGACCCTCTTTTACCTGGGCCCACCTACATTAAGGGTCTGAATGCTATGCCATTGTTTGGCACCAGTATCAGTAAGTCTGAGAATATAATTTTAATTTAACTATTATCAAAAAAAATGCCAACTGTAAGTGTGGCTTACACCAGAGGAGTAAAATTTATATTTTTAAATTCACAAGGAAAGAAAGCGATGCTACCGAAAGGGCATGCAGTGTCCAATTATAAGATGCGGTATGGGTCAGTCAAGGGAACGGAAGTGTTTTAAATGAGTATTATGATAACATTTCACTACTTGTACAAAATTATTTCCTGTATAAAAGATATTAATAATTAACTTTGGATTTACACAGTCATGACCAGCATTGCTTTTTAATCTGAAATGTAAACTAAATATTTTCCCATGATAATGTTAAGATTTTAATAAAAATGATTAACTTTCATATCAAACCAAAATATGTTCAGTTGGTTTTTCATTAAAACATTACACATCATTATTTATTCAAATTAAGATGTGCCCAGTAGCTGTTCCATCAGAACATGACCTGTCACCTACATGTGTCCATAACAAAATTGGCTCTTAAATGGAACCATAAAAGAAATATATAAGTTTTACTTTATTGATATATTTAGCCTATCTTACAACATAATTACGAATTTTGTACTAAAGATGTATCGTGGGCATAGTTTTGAAATTCTCTTTGCCTTTTTCCAGAAAGGAGAGAAATTGGCATGTCACATATTGAATGTTTGCTCCTATTATATTACTCTACTATAATTAATAGCAGCAAAATATTAATGTAAGGGAAGTAAGAAAACTCACATTTTTCAAAGACAAAAGAATCGTTCTGTCAATGAAAAGGCCAAGGTAGAAATAAAAATATTTTATTAACAACAAATATTATTTTTTCAGTTGCTTTAGTATTTCTGCTAATATGCCAGTTAATGTTGTAGCATTTTGCATTAGTGCCTCCTCCAATCGAAGACGAGCTCCTCTTTCCTGAATCTCCATTTCCAGTTTTCTTTCTCTTTCTTTCAGTTCCATGGCTAATTTTGCCTCTCTTTCCTTTCTTTCAATACTAAACTTCTCCTCTTCTAACTTTAGCTTCCTTTCTTCCATCACTATTTTCTTCTCCTCAACTTCTCGGTGCCAATTGCTGTCTTTTAAATTCAGCAAGGTAGAGCCCTTGACTGTGAGCTCTCTGGGCCGAACGCTGTTCAAAAGGACTTGTGTCGAGGTCGGGGTGGGTGTTGGGGTTAGAGATGAGACTGGTGTCGGGGTTGGCGTCGGGGTTGGGGTTTCGCCTGGTGTTGGAGTCGGAATTGTCGTCCGCTTGGGTGTCATGATGAGGGTTGGATTTGGGGTTCTTGTCAGAATCAGCGTGTGTGTTGGTTTCACACTAATGGTTGGATTTGTAGCCCGTGTAGTAACCGTGAGGGTAGAGCTGGGGATGGGGGTGGGTGGTTGTGTTGAAGTTGGGGTGAGCACCTGCGTCTTGACCGGGGTTGGGGTGTGGGTGGGGGAAGAGTTGGGCAGGGAGGAGGATGAAGTGGCTGACCCTTCATCAAGCACCTTCACGGGATCCCAGCTATCTACTTCTCTTTCAGTTTGCATGGTAGAGATTTTTGACTTCTTTTTCGCTCCAAATTCTTCCATCAAATCACGAACTTCAAGTAGGAGCTGATCCTTTTCCATATATTGTTCTTCTGACCCTGATCTGAAAGAATGTGAAATCCACATGGAAATCTTAAGATCTTCAATGCACAGAATAATTAAATAAATAAAAGGAGTTGTCTAGTATCAAATATATATTAAGATCTTTTCGATTCTGTACCAATTATCATCAGAGCTATTTTACAGCATCTGGGCAGAAACCAAAGTTCTTTCTTTTGGTTTCATGGCCAATTTTGCCTCAACCGAAGTTTACTGCCCAAATGCTGTAAGATAGCTCTGATGGTGATCGCTACACAATCGAAAAGACCTAAAGTTTCAATATATATTTGATATCAGACACCTTTTATTTATTTAATTATTAGAAGGTATCTACCTCACTAGCTTATTAACATCTCATTAGCAAATATAGAAAGACAATGTGGCTACACTTTTTAAGGGGATAAGTGCAGGTTTAGTATTTTAAATTTAACTCAGAAGAATTTTATACTAGAAATTCTGTGAGTACTTATGATGTTGACAAAATAGAAAACAATAATTTAAATGAAATAAAATCACAAATAATCAAATTTTCATATCAAATATTTTGCTACTATAATTTCCCAAATAATACTGCTTGCAGAACAGTTTTTTCAACAAGGAACTGTAGAGAAAATATTCAGGCACAAAATGTATTATAATTATTTACTTAGTAGAATTAAAATATTTTTTATTACATGTAAGTTTGTTTTCAAATTACATATTACACCACCTATTACAGTACTATCTTTAAGTTCTGCACAATATATTTCTTGAAAATTGGAAGCAAATCCAAACAATAATTGAAATGTTAGGTGTACATATGTTCCAATTTGATGATATATGAAGTGAATTAGCAAAATTATTTAATTCACATTTTGGGGGTTTTGAAATGGGGTAAGGAAAGTGCATTTTTTGGGAGCAAAACAACTTTAATCTGGTGCTTCTCAATCCTGTTCGTGAATAGCACGATTTTTCAGTAAGAGGAATAACATACCACCTCAATTTTCTTTCTTCGCAATTTAAAAATAAATAAAGTGTTTTGCATCTTCTAAGAAGAACAGACCTTAAAAACGATTAATGAGGTATGCAGTTTACACCTTCACTACTTCAAGAACTTTATTTCGTCCAGTATTAAAAAGTTTTGGTTATTATGCAATGGTTGCCAAGGTCAAAATACAGTTGTCAGATTTCTATTGGCATTATCTGCTGCAAAATGGTTTTAAAAAAATGTACATCTTTTACACACTGAACTGCTAGCTTATCAATGAATCAAAACTGATGAAATTATCAAAATGCTCAAGTACTTTCCAGAAGATTTTTTCAAGCATTGTAGCGTTGGAACACACACACACACAAAAAGAGAGAAAAAAAAAGAAAGGAGAAGAAAAAACAAAAATTAAAAAAAAATAAATAAATAAATAAATAAAAAAAAAAAAAAAGAACAGACAAAAACAGTCAAACTAATAGGTCATTTTTAATTACTTGTAAGAAGTTTCTGAGCTCTTTGTACATATATTTGAAATTACATACAACAGATTGTACCATGCTCCCTTCATTTAAGGGGTTTTCATCTCCCAAAACTTCATCTATGGTTTTGGGTTCTTTTGCAAGTTCACCATTCATAATGAAAAGGCATTCCCAAGTATTTAATTGAAGCAATAAAAGAGTATGTACATTAGGAAAATTCCAAGATCTCAATTAAAGAACATAACGAGAGAATGTATATCAAGGATTAAGACAAGACTAGCTTGTCCCCAATTTTATTTGAATTATGTATACACAGAACTCTAAGAAAGTGGATATTGCAGTTGAAGTGTGAAGGTCACGATTTGAGACGTAAAAACAACATAATAACCGTACTATTTGCAGATGACCAAGCAATCATCGCAGATAAAGCAAAATGGAATACAAGAACCTTCTTTTGAACTCCAGAAAGTTATGAAAACATACAATTTATGCATTTCCATTACAAAAACAAAAGTGATGGCTCGGGCCCGTAAGTTTAGATGTTTGTTTGACCTAAAATAGGCTGGCAAAAAGGCAATTATTCTAGCTAAAGTAGGGTTGTAAATAACAGGAAACATTGAACAATCAGTTATTATAGATTTCGTTCTTCGCACTTGTCTAATTACCAGAAGAAAAGAGAGAACCAATAGGACTTGAGAAGGGCATTTCATGTACAGAACTGTTCTCAAAAGAGATCTGAGGCCACTCTCAAACATAGAACAAGATCCTCGTGAGGCAACAAGTCTGTCAGCATCAACAAAACGTTTCAAAAATCCTCACTAGAATCATCTTACTTGCTCTTTTAGATTTTTAACACAATCCGACACAGGATTCTCCACATCCACAGAAAGACAATTTATGACTGTGCCTTCATGCTGTCCAGGCTTGCAGGTATGATTCCAGCTTGATAGAGGTTGATGCCAGGAGGAGAAAAGGGTAAAATAATGACGAAAAAGGCGAAATGAAATCCACTAAAACAACTCGTGACATACAATTAAGTGATTACTATTACCAGAAGTCATAAAATCATCACAATAATAAAAAGGCATTTTGCCAAACTTCCGGGCTCTAGCTATGGCATTTCAGGGAACTAATCCCGTAAGATCAAAATTATTAATACATAATAAAATTATACAAATAACAAACTTTAACTTTCTGGGATGTAATATTTCAAACCGTGGAGAAATAGATATTGACAGGAAAACTGAAAAATTTAATTTAATGAATGAAACCATAAAAGAAAACACAAGGTAAGGTCAGGAAAGAAACATACATTCAATTTTACTCACATAAAGTATACTAACTTGCTTATAAGGAAGCGAAAACTGGCCTTGACAAAAACAAGATACAATGGGGATGTGGTGTGCTGAAATGCGATTCCTGCCACCAATTGCAGGATATACACTGATAGATAGGAAAAAAGATACTGAAACTTAACTTATCCAGCTTGCAAATTAAGAATGGAAGACTGTATGGTATGAACATATCACAAAAACGGATTAAGACAGGCTGCCCACAGGGCCGTTTTAACAGCATTGAGAGCCCTTGGGCCTAGGTTAATTTGGAGACCTCCCTGTCTTAAATTCACCGATCCCTCTACCCCATTTTTGATGCTGAAATATAAAGAAAATCCTTCAATTCATATTGTATTTTGCAAATTTTTTAAAGTATTTTTTAAAAGTATTTTGTAGAGTTTCAACTTAACATTATTCAAATCAAAAATTAAACATATAAGTAAGATTAACAGATTCATAATTACATGGAAAAAGACTACAAATTAAATAGTTACGTCAAATAGTCAGATTTCAGGTAGATAAGTAAATATTTTCCTTCATAATTCCAAAACATTTCCAGTTGTTGTCGACAAACTTCCATGTACATGGCAAAAAATGTAAGTTATATATTTATATTTGGTTCTTGAAAAATCCTTCTTTTGAAGCCAAATAACTCCTCATCCTGTCAAATGTTTCATAAGAAATTGCTCATAAAACAAATATATATCAAATCAATAGCTTCAAGAACTAATAAAATAATCTTTCTACCTACAGTTTAAGAGAATACAAAACCCCTTTCAAAATATACACAATCAAGTAGGAGAGGTAAATATTAAGAGGCTTCAAAAGGTTACATATTTGGTGAGCATTAATATTCCTTCTGCAAGCAATTATGTTATTTTGAAAATTTTAAACCTTGGGTCCAAGTTTAAATTCAAACTACTTTTAAGAGAAAAAAAATGGGCATTCAAGTAGAAAGATTAATAAAAATATTTTATATATTATTTTCAATTTGTCTATAAATTAAAACACAATTACTGACTGATGTATCGATTCAATGTTTATTGCAATAAAATAACTTTTTTTTATTATGTATTTCAATTTATTGCAAAGACCCTTAAAACAACCCATAAATCATAATGGTCGGTATAAAAATACTCAGTTGAACAAAATGATTCTGAACTTACTTTCTCAAATTAACACCATCTTGCTTCTGCCACAATTTGGCTATATTTTCCGTATGCTCTTTCACCAAACGCACCGAGAAATTCTTGCCACAAATCGAGGCAACTCGTTCTTGTACTACAGCCCACTTCGAACGGTTTTCGAAGGGGTTCAATGCTAGTACCTCTCGAAGGAGAATTAATTCTTCTTCGCCTGAAAATCTGCAACGCCCTTTCTTTGCGTCTGCCATGAAATAGACGTTTACGGAAAAAAATCACTCAAAACTTATCACATATCTGTTTCTCTCAATGAAGATGACTAGTAGTGTAGTATTTTTGGCTCGGTTATAATTTTGGACCACCTCTTGATCCCTTCCATCCATTCTGAAATTTATCCAAATGTCATTTTACATAAACAGATACTACATTATTATTTCTTCAATAGCATTTTCTATCTCTGAACAGCAAATCAAACGTTCCCGCTCTTTCGTTCCCGTGCGGTAACACGCCTTCGTCGGTCAAATTACTTTCCCTCGATCTTACACAAGCTTTGCATTTATTTAAACATACCGCGTTGAGATTTCACTTGTGGAATATTAAACCAATGTTGAACTACACGATGTAGCACTACGGGAATTTAGCGCCTCCAGCACATTGCCGACTCAGTTCGGAACTACGCTATATCACAGACTAACACAAAAATACTCTTACACTTCGAACGTTACACGTCACGTAGTTTCCTCTAAAGTGCATCATATCGTTTTACGATATGCTGTGCGAAAACTAAAGTGTTCTACACAATTTAACTGTCAACCGACCAGATAATACAGCACCACTTGACATCAGCCACAGTGTAGCCCAGGGCTACCGAACTACGTGTTAATTCTCGCGACTAGCGTTAGTGCTGCGCTCGAACGGGCGGAATCCCAATTAAACTAAGTGGTGGTGGGGACCGTAGCATCGGTGGGGGTAATATTTCCAGCAGTTAGAATGCACAGTATTTTCTCATGTACATTCCTTTTAGAGTAATTTACAAATCAATTCTAGGATTCAGTAGGAAATGTAGGATATATAATGGCATGGAAGTGACCAAAGGATGACACAACTCAATAATGAAATGAATGACAGATTTATTAAAATTAAATTGAAAAAACAATTTTCAAGAAGAGATATACAAATTCTCCAAGTAATACAATTTGATAAATATTGGATGGAAATAATAGCAAACATAAATTCACAACATCATGTAGTTACTTCAATAAATCAAACATAATATCTATTAATGAAAATACTTGATCTTCGAGTGCCTCTGGGAGAAATCTCTTTCATCAATCAATATTGAAGTGATTACAAATCCACTTGCTATTACGAACTACTGAGGGGAATAAAACTGCTTCGTGATATCAAAAATTTATAGTATTGATATTCCAATTATGTTAACTGTATTGTAATTCCAAGCATTGCAAAGATATTACTAATGAAATTGCAATAAAAATAACTAGTTGAACATGACAATATTGATTTCCAAAAAATTAAATAATATATCATCCGACAAACTTAACTGTCAATGACATTACAAGCAATCAAAAAGGCAGCTATCTATATCACATGCTTAGCAATAAGCAATTAATGTTACATCTTAAGCCATGGTTTAATACTATCTTTGAAATTCTTCTTTAATAAGAGTGCATCACAAAACATTTAATGGAAAAGCAATGTAAAACAAACAATTCCTTTAAAAGAATTATAATGTTTAATACACTGTACAAATTTGAAAAATGAATAATCTTTTCATATGCACCCATATTTTTAGAATGTCAGAAGCTTGGTTGTATTACAAAGTGGCAATAGATTAATATCTAAAACGATAAGAGTTTGGAATGGAGTACTTTTAGTTTCGTACATTAGTCTATTCTTGCTTTTCAGCACATTATTTTCAAATTATTTTTACAACAAAATTATTTATTAATTTATTTGATAATTTAAATGTCGAAGATTGAATGATAGTTGCACTAATAATTTCCGGTTTTCATTGTTTAATTGAATTGGAGTCCAAGAAACTAATGAAATTTCAGTAAATTTTGAAAACATTTTTAAACTACTGTGTTCTTCTCTTCATTATTCACACATTCCCATTTCCCTAGCAAAGCTCAAAGAGAATGCCAAGTTGTAATTTTGCTCTCAGACAGTAAGTGGAGCTGTAGTAATTGTGCTTATCATTAAAATGCAATTTATACATTATATTAATAAATTATAATTAAATGGAGCAGTAATTAATATTATTAACTAAAGTTAATATTGCGTTATTACTGCAAGTGATAAGCCTCTCATTGTTTTGCACCCTACAAAAAGGATGAAAAATAACATCCTTTTAATGTGCAGTGTTTTAAGTGCAACTACCACTAGAATGCAACCTTATAATCCAGGCTTGTGCTACCACTTCTATATCGAAACAATACACAAAAGAACAAAACAAATGAAACTAACGCACCAGACAAATTTGAAACACCATAAATTGTTTCAGAAGGGGAAAATTTGTCAGGTTCGTCAGCAATAGATTAAAAATTACCCTGGAGCCTTTAAAATGTGTTTCTCATACAAGCACTTTTCTCTTAAAATCATCATATATCTCAGGCTATCTCAAGCAACAGAACACAATGAAGTAAAACCTACTGTACTTGTATTTCTGTTGTAAATGTAACATTTGTCTGCATTTTACAAAAATGATGCCAACATTTCTCTTGATAAAACGCAGCATAAATACCATGGTGTACAAGTTATAACTAAAGAACAAATAAATTAGGCTCCAGGGTCAAACATTAAGAATTCCACCACTTTGTAAACGAGACTGAGAGCTTGGGTTGATGGTTCTGTCTGAGGATCATGCACTTGCCATATCCCAGATGGTGTTGTGACTTCAGGCAGGGGAGAAGTGGCCATTTCCTGATGTACTGGATGCTACAATCTCTTCCTCACCTTCCGAGACAGGCACAGGCCGGATCAGCAAGAGCTGTTGCACAGTGAGAATAAAATTAATTTTAATTTTAAAAAATATATACAAAAATATCACACTTCAAATAAGGTTACCTGATATTTGTGGGGCCTGATGTAATGGATTCCATTGCTGTAGCCAATCTTGCAGAATCTCCTATAAAATAAATCAACATTTTAATATTATCTCAATGAAAAAATTCAAGCAAATGTTGATGTGGTTCACAAGCACGAATACGATTGGCATCGATTTGGAGTACATCCAAAAATACTACAAATTTTTCATTTCGTAACCTGTGATTATCTGTATTTTTAAAAGGTTAAATGAAAATATACTCACGTAAACAAGCAACTGCACCACAATCGCAGTCTCCTTTTGGGGGCAATAGCAAGGAAATCTCAGCCCTAAATGAGCACACTGCATAAATGCCTGTCACGGATCCTTTCGCCATCTGGGATCTCTGCAAATTCCCTCCAATTTTGCAGGACAAAAAGGCCTCGTCTTTTCGGAAGGGAATCTGTGGAACGAGATTCCTTTCCAATCGTTTTTCTAATGATTTAAAGGTTTGTGACATACGCAACAGGTAGACATCTGGAAACAAACAAAAGACATCTTGCTCTACATTATGTAATAAATTGACGAATTTTCGTATGTATTAAGCTTTAATAATGATTTAATAACATATATAATTTAATAAGAACACCGAAGTCTTACCTCTTACAATAAAATTGATTTGAAAAAGTGTTCGCCGAAGTCCACAGATCGTCAAGGACACAACCAGACACACAAAGCAAACAAGCAAAAGTAGGAAATCCGTTGTCCTTCAAAACATCTTTGTCTCCGCGGACATCGATGTCTTCGGTAACACTCGTTTATTCACGGTCGCATTCGTGTCATTCCGCTTTCTCTTTCTAACACTGCGACTGCAGGGCCTCCGTCAGACGGCAATCGCCACTAAACTTTGCGGAAAACGCAGGCCAGGCCCAGCCCTATGAAGCTAGGAGCCCCTGGTGTAGCCCGTGCATCAGCTGAGCGGACACAGCAGTATAGCCAACCTTTGATGGCAGAAGTGTAACTCTTTCAGATACTATAGAGAATCTCTATAGTAGATATATAGGACAATATCTGTATGGTATTTGGCTCTTTGAGCAGAAGTGTAAAAGGTGTAAAAGATTCAATCAATATGACACAATGTAACACGACTGAATTGTGCGAGTATTGCTTCCGATACTTATTTTGTATTAAATCCTATTTGGTAATCCGTTGGCCAATCATGTGAAAGTAATAGGAAATTTTGAAAATAATCTTTACTGGGACACGTGCATTTTACGTCTCAATTTGCATTTGTTTCATGCTTCTTTGTAATTCCTTAAATTGAACATTTACATTTTTAACATATACATCTTTCTACAGGGCGTTTATATCTTCATTCCCTTGTACAAAAAGAAATGGTCGGAATGCATTTCATTCCATTATGCTTATAAACAGTTTTTATTGAATTTATTCATACGATTGGCTAATTTTATAATTTAATATTATCAACATATAAAAATTAATAATTACAAATATCAATTTTCAAAAATTATGCTATTTGAAAATATGAAGTAAAACGATTATATTTGACAGGAATAACATGCAGATCATTCAACATACTGGAAATTCATTATCAATATTACTGACAGTCATAAAATGTCATATTTAAAATATTAAATAAACCGGTCTAGAGCCTTGCTCTACAGTAGCCATGCTTGGATTTATGATATGAAACCAGTGGTGCTGCCAAAGCACATACTTTATCGTAATGTTTCTACACGCTCCGCAATATTATATTGATTTTAATATTTTATTGAGCAATTGATTTGATATGACATACATTTTTCAAATAGGGCAAGAGAGTTGTAAACTTGTTTAAAATTTTAAAATACGTAAATGACATACAGACACTTTCAGCTTATTTAGAATCTTGATGTATTGTATATGTGAGTAGGCTTGCTTCAAACGATTTTCAAGTTTCTGAAATTCTCAATAGGTTTCTGGGGCAACAGAGAGTTGTGACAAATAATTACCTCCAAGCCAGTCTCGAACCAACGCACAGTGGTTGATTTCCAGAATCTAGCGGTATTTAAATCAAAAATGCATATGCTCAAAACGAATGAAAGTCTACGTAAACGGGTTCCTTATAGTCTTGTCCGGACTGTAACAATCGCCATAAGTACAGCATTCATTTCCCAGAAGAATGGGGAGGTCTGTTCGATGAACGCTTCCGAACCGAGCGCACAGCCGTGTCTCGGTCCTGATTTGACGCGCTTGATGTTACTGCCTATTGACGTCGCGTTGTTAAGGATACCTTAAATCTTCGATATGACTGAGAATCTGGAAGGTATGTTCTTCAAAATCTACTAATTCTTAAGTAGAAATGTTTACATTTCGGGTTGTTTTTTATGTAAAATTATCTCCATGTATTTGAGACAGGTTTCTTAGTAATCGGAAATTTAAACTGAGTTATCTTGAGTTGCCAACAATCGCCAAGAAGTTTCTTTGCATGATTATATTCCGTCAACCTTGTAAAACATAATGGCGAAAATTATTATTGCCCAAATTTGCCCCATTACGAAAAAATCGATTTTTTTTCAGATGCTTGTACAGTCACTCGGCGGGAGCTATTCGAGCTCTTGCGTAAGGGTGAACTCTCTCGTGCCACAGATATTCGGAATAGAAAGATGCTAATGGAGTATGTTTTCGGTAAAGTTTTTGGAAGAATTCCAGAGGCAGTAGTAAGTGAAAAGATACGGAGATTCACCTCCCAAATTACTGACCAATGGAAGACTTGCAAAAGAATGGTAGACAGGTTCGCGGCAAGGAACTCGGC